AAAAGAGTGTGCCGGGAGGTCAAAGGTGAGGCAGACTGCATTCTGGGACACCTACACAGCAGATGCGCCGGGCTGCTCCGTCTGCGCCCTGGTGCGCTGTGGGAGTATTTTGTTTGGGGGATTCAGCATATCCTTTTCGTCACGTACCTTGGAGTCTACTTTTCTCTTGTTGTGGGAGGGCTGCCTCTATAAAGCACCTTCTTCTACTTCTCCTGAGCTTGTCAATACTCAGGAATACCTAGCAGCACTTAGTCATAGGTCTCTGCGGTAGTGTGCTGTCTCTTGTGGGCGTCACAATAAACAAACACAAAACAATCGGAGACTTAAAGGTGAATTCACAGACACAAAGTAGACGTTAGATTTCTGAGTCACTTTCCTTTGCCCGAGGCATTTGAAAGGAAAGTAAATGCAGACAGACGGACCTGGACAATGCCATATTTCTATCTTTGAATAAAAATCACCCAGGAGCGCTCTTCAAGTCTTTCCCCCCTCTCCTGTCAAATCCCTTGGTTCCACTTTGTCGACTTTCTATTTTGGTCTTTGTTTTTTTGATGAAGGCCTCACCGGAATGCGGCTATCACAATCACGGAAGTCAATAGTTCAGTTTGGACTTAAAGATGCGTTGAGTAACTTTTCTAGTGGAGGGCCTCGTTAAATGCTTTTCTCCATGGAGATGTTGTTTCTTGGTCTGGAATGTTTCATAATATGGCATTAAACCTTTCCATCTTCATCGAGACCAAACTTGGCTAAGTTACAGGTCAGATGTGTGGAGAGGTGACCCCATTCACCATCAGAATGCCTGTTGTTGTTGATGTTTTTCTAGGTATTTTGGTGCTATAAAACCACCTGTAATTGAATAAATGTAACGTAGAGCTGTTTAATGTCATACTCTGGAACATTCCATGGCCAAAAAGTTACATATTAGACCTTTAGGATGGGGAACTCAAAGACAGTGGTTAAAATGGTCGCAAAGAAGGAAACTGAACAAAACAAGACAAAGCTGCTTATTTATCTAACATAATGCTTGTTTTTGGAAAATTGGTTTAAAAAGCTGAATAAAGGGTGCATCCCATTTCTGGTCCTAGATTCCTGATGATTTGTTTCCTCAATTCCTCTGTGGTAAAATCCCACCCACTGCCACAAACTGAGAAAAGAGGACCAAAGAGGGGGTTATCCAATTGACTCTCTCTTCTGTAAGTGAGATTGACAGGAGAGGAATTGAGTAATCAAGGAGGCAAGTGAACAGAAATGGGACTCGGCCCTGGATCAAGTGCACAGTAACTCAGTCGGGTACATGCAGACTTCACCAAGGAAGTCTGGTGCCGTTAAAGTTGACATGAATAATGATGCATTTTGTAGACTGAGATCTTTGCGATTAAAAACATACAAGGAATAGGATGCGCTCATATTTGAATTGTCACTAATGGTTTCTTTGTTTTTTTGAGACCTCCTTCTGTTGCAGTATCATTTGGACTACACAAAGAATCTATTGTATTACACTTTTTACAATTACCTCTCTGGTGACTGTCTCATCTGTCGAGGTTTAGTTTCTGTCTGAGTGGAGAGAGGCCGGTGATGGTGCCGTGATGATGTGACCAAGAAACAAAACGACAACGTTCAATCCAGGGCCAGAGGGAACTGTGAATCTATAAAGGAGGTCACAGCAGCCATTTTAAGAGATAAACTTATGTCACGCCAATACTACTTTACTCATCTTTTGCACTGAATTTTCTTGTTTATATTGTACAGTATAAAATAACTTGTGCATGTTCAAATCTCTGCCCATGTAATTTACCTTCTTGATCATTAAAGGCTGTCCATAAGTGTAAAGAACTGCTCTGACCATCAGGAATGCCTATCGGTGGATCTTGAAATGATTATCATAGGTGGATAGAGTAGCCAAAAATTATGCTCAATATTAAGTACAAAGCAGTGGTCCAAGAAATTACTCAAAAAATAGTACAAAAAAAAGTATTTGGAAAAACTACAACTCAATTAAGAGTCTGGAACAGTAGAACAGTTGCCAACAAGCCTAACTTAAAGAGTACCTGTCAGAATGAAATATATGAGTTGAAATTTAAAGTTAATGTAATTTGAAGGACAAAACATTAAATAATGCACCAAACTGGTAATAGGAAAAAAAGAGAAAAATTACATCATTACTGAGGGCCTGTTTACATGAGAATGCTTGCGGGTAAAAGTGACAAAATATTTTATTGGAAGTGCCTTTCGTTTAGATGGTGACAGTGTTTTTGGGGCTTAAAATCACAAAAATCTAAAACCATCCTCCAGAGTGGAAAGTATTCAGAGTTGAATACCCTCTGCTGTAGTGTTTCCGTTTACACTGCCCAAGACGCAAAACTCTGGTCAGATCTGGTCACGTCGCGTATGTGTTTACATCACATACATTCAGTACACAGAAACCTGGCATGCATACCCAATAAAATTCCACACACTTTTGCGTCATCGTATGCACGCAGATTTCCTCCCGAAAATGCTCGTCTAAACGCTGAATAAAAAGTGAAGACACAAAGCCACTTTTGTTTGTCTTCTATTCAGACCATCACTATATAAACGTAGCCTGAAGGAGCGAAAAAGACAAATGTTCAAATCATTTTATACTGAGGCTTTTGTCACTTGTAGACTTCAGTGTGTAACCCAAAGTTTTACTCTAGAAAGGGTACTGTTACTTTAATTTAAAAAAAAAAAAAAAAAAAAACCCAAACAGGGGTAAAAGTATGTTACTAGAAAAGTGAAAAGTACAATTTATTTTAAATAAAAATGTAAATCTGATCTGATCATTACACAATCCCATACGTGCACTATTTCTTCAGTAAATGTTGGATCAGACTGCACGGGTTACACAGGTTATTCTTAAGGCTTCATAGGAGACGTCATTGATTTGTCACAACAGTTGCTTTCTTAGATTTTTTATTTTTTTACTTTTATTCACTAAATTGCACACAACATGGAAGACTAGCTGTTTTGGAAATGCTGCTAGGATACCATGGAGGAAAAAAGATCCGCCTGGTGTTTCTAACCCTTGTGCCAAAATAAAAAGCTTGTCCTGTCTAAATGTTGTGCCTGGTCTGTGTTCTTGTATAATTGTACACTGAATACTCCAGGTGTAAAGCAAGTTGTAACAGTTGGCAGCATTATACAAGCTACATGACTAGGTATACAGCAGGGGATTCCCAGCTTTGATTTGAATACGACTACATTGGTTTAATCTCCGTTTGTACGAACTGTTTAATTTTACCTCTTTCTGATCAGTTCTAATTCCAACATAAAAGTATCTCCACAGAGTCTGGCATCATGACTGAGTCCTAAAGCTGTTCCTGGCTGTTAAATCGATTGAAGACACAATATTATGTAATGTAAATTCCTTTTAATTCTTTCTCATACATGTGGAAAATCTGAACCATGCGTATTTCTAATCCTCTTTTTTACTCAGCATTTATCTGTGTACACATCATTAGTTCCTTCCAATCATTTATCTTCTTGGCTACCAATTTAAACCTATTTTGATATGGTAATGTGTTTTGTTCTCTTGAAGCTGCATGCTAGAAAAATAAACACACATAAAACAAACTGAACCAAGGTCGATAGAGAACTAATTATTCTCTTCCATAAAGTTTCTAGTTCCCCCTTTATGATTGTTACTGTGATAAGTGCTTGTGGTCTGTAGAGCTGGCTAATTGCAAACCAGCAGCAAGTGAAATCAAAGCAAAACTTAAAACATCTAACTCCGATTTCAAGTCTCAGTCTGATTTCAGTATGTATTTTTTACTAACATAGATGTAACAAGTAACCGAAATGCATGAGAAGAAAAGAATTTGCCAATAAAAAGATAAAAACATGAATAAATTCTGCATACAAGAACCAAACAAATCAGCTGTATTTTCAACAAACTGATCTATTGAGTATTTCTTACACTGACCAATACACCTACATTAGCTGGTATGCAAGACTTGAATTAAGAATTGAATCTTCAGTAGAATTGTACAAGGACCATCCTATTAAACTAATGTAATTCAAGCCAGTACAAACCATAGGTCTTAAGTTTCTAGAACAGGGAATATATAAATAAGAAAAAGGAGTTTCACTGTATCCCCAAATGTGACTATGGTTGCATCATCTGAATACAGAGATATCAGTGCACAAGAAGTCATTGCTAGACTGCTCCCTCAGGCTCCTACAGTAAATACAAATGTTTTCTTATTCAACTCGCCATGCTTTAAATAAGATTTCACAAAACTCCCTTGAAAGAAATAGCAAAATATAATGATGGCTATTGGCATTCCTCGCATGGAAGGCTTTCTTTTCCCGAACTTGCCAACAACTTAAATAGCATAAATTTACACTAGCAAGTACCTTAGGCTAAGATATGCTGTGCTATAAGTGCTGTCTATGCTGCACGTATAGACAGTAAATCATGAGACTACAGACGGAGTCCTCGGTCGGTCATGGACAAGTCTCTATCATGCAATCACAAAGAAGTGCTCACTCTCCCCCGTTACCGCAAGTCCATGAATAATGCACACTGTAATATTGCAATGTATGGAGTCTTTACTAATTAATTCAGCATTTCCCACTTAGGTGATCTCATTAATGTGGTATCTTTGTAGTCAGCTCTGCATAACACTCTTGTGGCCTTGGATGTTCAAGCTGTCTATTCTAAGTATTTTCTCTGTGTACTTTATATTGGATTTGGCCTTGTTGTGAACATGAGAACTAGGTGGTCTCCTTGCATTTCATTTTGGAAACACTTTGGGACTACGTTAGCCTAGCCAGCTGTCCTTCCTTTTACATTCATATTTTAATTTTGCACCATTAAAGATATTTCGCAATAAAGATAAATCACAAAAATAAGCCATATGATGACAAATCAAACATAAAGGAAAGAAATAATTGCTGAAATTAAGTTTGAGAACACACACACGCGCACACACACACACACACACACACAAACGCTTAAAAAGATACAGGAAAGTGTAATATATATTTAAATATTTATTGCTTTATTTGTTAGAGCAGAATAGCATTGTAAGGGAAGGTTGTTTTTTCAAGTTTTGACTCAAATCCATGACGCAAGCTGTTGTTGCCGTGTCCGACTGAGTTACACCAAGCCACAGGCAGAAGAAGTGCATTTGATGTAAGTAATTTTGAATTGAATTATGCTCCATATCCCCACAAAGCTTTACTCACAAAATAAAAAGCTGAAATGGTGACTAAAAATCCCAAAGTAATGCTATAAACACAAAAGTTCATACTATTTAAGCAGCACTGGTCTTTTTGTTTCAGTAGACTTACAATAAATCACACATTCAGATAGTGATAGCTGCACTACCTCTCATCTGGGGCACTGCACTTTTTGATCAGCGCTGTCCGTCTCATCAGGATTGACCACTAAAGATGTTCTTGCATTGTCTAAAATTGGCACGCTGTTTTCCTGACCAGAAGTCAGAGCCATTGGTTGTGGTGTCAGGGCCGTAATGGCTGCAGTGGGGAGAGAGGGGACTGGACCTGTGCAGGGCCTGGGCATTGGCTCCCCCTCAGACTGGACTTTGGTCTGTTTTTTGGCATTTTCCAGCAAAACACGAACATTTACGGCGAATACTGCCCGAGGGTCTGCTTCAGGTAGAGGAGGACACACACAGCTTGCCCTCAACTCAAGAGCCTAGAGGGGGAGAGAGAAACAGAGTGTGAGAGAGAAAATTAAACATAAAAATCACCTAAATTGCTTTTTCTACTGTTATTTTATAAGTTTACTATAGACATACAAATAACTCTAAACCATGGTTTCTTTTGGGAATATGACAGGGTTTTACAAGGCAATTACAAAGTTAGTTAATTTATAAGTTCTCAATAACTCTCTCATCTTTGAAATTTAGAATCAACTTTTTAAATTGTGTTTACTTGTTTTTTACTGATAGAGATTTCATGCATTGCCCATTTGACATTTGACATTTGACATGTCATTTAAAATCAATGGATGCTGTAAAGGTGTAAGAGAAAACACTGGAAGAAACACTGGAAAGATGGATTGACCAACCAGTAATTACAGGCATGCTTTCTGCTTGTTTTATGATCAAGACTACTTATTAAACTTGCCCTCACATTCACACACAAGGCCACAGAACTTACATAAATGCACTTGGCTTCTGCTGCTCAACATGCTCTTCCTTTAACGTTATAAAATGTCTAAAAGTGTTTTTTTTCTCTCCAGTGGTAGAGGTGGAGTGGCCTCACATGAAGCCTGAAGCTGTCACCTTTTCCTCCCAGGTTAAAAACATCACATTATGCTTCATTTTCTCTGTTGATTCCTCCTCCTGGGGTGCTATGGTAATGCAGCTAGGAGATGGGAGGGGAAACTGTTTTAAAAAGTGTTTATCTGGTTTTCAGGGCACTGCCTGTGGCTACAGTCTGCTTGGTACAAGTGCTGTTAGTACAGGTCAATACAGCTCAGAGGGATTGGACATAACACAGTCAACGACACGGCACCTGATGGACAATTAGAGCCAGCCCCATCTGCTCATCTTTTATGATGGGAGCGTCTGACAGCGCCGCAACAGGACAAGTCACGCTCAAGGTTACATTTGCTACTTAAATATACTGTTATGGAGAGACACTTTTGGGACAGTTGGTTACTTTAAGATGTATAGTTTCACATAAAAAGGACATTAAACTGCATTTTAAATGTGTTGCACACTTGAAACTCTTCTTTTTCCATACTCAGTTAGTTGTAACAACAAGGAAATTTAGTTGAGTGTACTTTGTATATAGCCTTTTACATTGGAGTGTGTTGACATATCACTCCTTGGCAGAATATCATTCTTAAAAGTTTTAACAAAATGAACAAATATCCATTCAATATGTTACACTATAGAAAATGGATCATAATTATTGATTCACACAAAACACAAAAGACTATTACACATTTTCTAATCTGTTAATGTGACTAAACAAAAGATATACGTAAGACACTGGTTACTTCAAGTTTCATGTGTAGTGTGTGTATCCCCCTTAATCTCTCCCTCTCTCATTACTGTGGAGGTTGCCCTTTCCTTGGACGTCTTAACTGTGTCTTCATTTCCTTATAGCCTAAAGACACCATTGATTTGCCTTACTACAGCAAGAGCAGAACTTCTCATATTGAGCTGCTTTTTTTCTGGTCCCAACCTCAAAGCCTAAAGGTAAATTCATTAATTCAGGCATATGAGTCCCAGTGCAGTGAAAAAAAAAATCCCTAAACTGTGCATCTTCTTTTTCCTTCCTACCCAGTGTCTCCTTCCTTTGTGGCTGCTTCTCTGTGTCTGCAGGTGCAACCAAGTCTCTCCAGATGCTTCATTAGCTCCATTAAGATCCTTCCAACAGTTCCTACAGCTACACACTTCCTCCCGTACAGGTGCTAGGCCCACTCGTATCAAGGACTACTTTAAATGACACAAGCGGAGCTGCAGCACTGTTTGGATGCCATAGGTAATCTAAAAGCTATATGTATCTTTTAGTGAGGTTCTAAATAAGATATGAATAAAATAAGGATTAGATGTATTTTAAATAGGATTGAAATTATAAAAGAGAAGATATTTGCCAAGATATCACTCAGTTAATAGATGATGGCTGAGGAATAAGTGCATTTGTTAATATAGGGCTATATTAAAGAGAGAAGCTCTAGATCACACAGTATGTTGATATCACCACAATGACTTTTAGTCACAGGGTTTACATCAATATTAGATTTTTATTGCCAATGTCCGAACTGTAAATGGGTGAATGCGAAATAATAGAATGCAATAAAGAAGTCAAAATTTCCTCATATTTTGGCCATACCTGGGGTACAAGACGGTCCATGTGAGTGTATCTGTTCTTGTGAGAAGGGTGTGAGGAAAGCCACTGGGGCAGCTCAGGCTCCCCCATCAGCCGATCCCTCATCTCCATCTGCTGCCAAAACACTGGACCGGCCCGCACATCTGCACACGCCTGAACGGGACAGAAGAAGACGGCTACATTCAGTCTGAATTCAGTTCTAGGACTGTCACTTGTAGTTTACTAGGGCAACAGTGCCATCTAGTGTCTACAAGAAAAAGTACAGCTGAGCGCTTTCGATATATTATAAATGATACCTTAGCAGCCAACTGAAGCCCCACTTCATCAGCTTCTGCTTCTAGTTTCCTACTGTAAGGACGACTGAACATCAACTAAAAAACAAACAAACATATTGTAATTGAATTTATTGAAATTTAAATATTTTTATGAAATATATGACACTTATCTTTACATTTCAATATTTATTTTATATTATATCACCTCAGCTGACTTTTTAAACTTTTTTAGCCTTACCTGTGTGAGCTTCCCCTGTGCCCAGTGCCCCAGCAGCGCGAGGCTATCTCTGGGACAAATGGCCCATATGGCTGTCAGCAGAATCAGAGACAAGAGGTCCACCACATGTGACAGACTAGCTTGTTCTGCCTATGAACAAAATGAAAGACGTACAATGTTAAAAAGAGAAACAGCAGAAGGGGTCGATGAAGAAAGACTGACTAAAGTGCAACTAAAGAAATGAAATTGAAAAAGAAAACAAAGGTAAAGGTTTTGGGGAAGTGTAGAAAGCATATTGATTGTTCCCATCTGTATTGGTAGAAGTTATTCGCTGTAGCAGATTTAAAGGTTTTAACAGGCAATCCAATAGAGCACACCTACTGGGTAATACAGGGCCCATCGATGCTCATTCGCTTCGTCTAATTAAAATCTCCTTCAAGCATTTCCTCTGAGGACATTTAAAGTCTGGGAATACACACAACTTCATTTAACACTTTTTGAGAACAAGAAAGAATGGGCTTTTATGTCCAGAGCAAAAGCAGTTGTCTCTAGAGGATTAAAAAAGTACAGAAGTGCCCTGGGTCAACCGTGCTACAGGGCCACTCAGATAAAGACAAAGAATCAGTGTGTCTTTGGAGGTTCAAGAGAAAGAGACTTGAGCTCTGGCTGATGCAACAACACTGCAACTAATGCCCCCTCATTCTCTGACAGGTTAAAGCGTAGTTGATATTCACAGTTTAGAGAGCAAGTACTTAACATATTGTTCACATTATTACAAGAAGTCACTATAAGTTGAAACAGGTGGTAAAAGTTATTGGACATATTTTTAAACTTCAGCCCTAACCACAACGGGCCAGAAGATGACCTTTACTGAAACTCATTATTAACTGGACTGGTTCAATTGAGAAGAATGGACTGTACTGCTCACCTATTTTCTGCAGGTGTTTGTTAATGACTTGTAGGTAATGAGTGAATGTTTTGCTGGCATAAAGTAAAAAGCTAAGTCAAGCTCATTTTAAGGTAATAGTAATATTATGTCTAGTCTTTATGTATAATGCATAGTTACCAAAAAGTAATGTATTTAAATGATGCACTTAGAAGTTTCTTGCTAATTTGCATTGCTGCCTTGAAGCTAAAGAGCTCTGAGCTTGACTTACTGAGTGTGCCAGTAAAGCATGGGCCATCTCGTGTCCCAGAACAATGGTGAGCTGATGAACATCTGCGACAGCATCCAACATCCCTGTGAAGACAAACACCTTCCCGTTCTGCACACAAACAAAGGTAAATGTGAGCTGATTATGCAAAGCCTTTGCGGTGAGTACTTCTTTGTTGTACTCACAGAGAGGACAAAAGCATTAACTTTGGGGTCCTGCACCACATGAACAGTCCAGTCGATCTCAGAGACCTCAGGGATGTCCTTGTTCTTTTGAACAAGGTGCTGAATGACCCGCTCCACCACCTGGTGCCGTGGGTCACACTCCGGCAGCATCAGCTTTGCAAACTCCTCTATGTACTGACAAACAAAGGGGATTCAGATTTAGAAGAGGTGAAAAGGTTTGGGGAATTTCAACCCAACACAGAGGCCAAACTATGGGTTTTAGTATGCTTGTATATTATTCCAGAATAAATGTCTGAGAATCAGATTTTAGGAAAGTCCTGTACTGTAGTTGTACCTCACTGTACACTATAATATTTGCATAGTATTTAGTCTTCATCAAACTTAGTGCCTGCAGTGTAAAACTATGAATTCTCTGTCCTTCTTACCCCCTCTGACACAAGGGCTGCCAGCTCCATGTAGTTCTCTTTGCTGAACACCAGGAGGCGTGTCCGTCCTGTCAGCGGTGACTCGTCCAGGTGCGTCAGGAGCAGTATGGCTATAATCACCAGAGTGAGACCAGCCCCAGCTGCCAGTCTCCACCGCCGCTGCCACATCCACTCACGCAGCAGATGTCTGCGGTTGTCTGGTAGTGCCACCCACCATTTCCTTATGCTCCTGCAAACATGGTCAGACATGCACTGTCAATGATGATTAGAATAACTCAAGAAAAGTACATGTTAATAATCTATTATAGCCCTGTCACTTCTTATAACCTAAATTTTACATGCCTTTTATCTGGCTGTCCATGTCATTTCACTTTAGTTTTATTTGACAAAATTGGTCACATATTTACACTAAACATTGTCAAAACTTACCAAATTCACAACTTTTGGCCATGGCTTGTAAAATCATTAGATCCAATGTCAGCTTTAATATACATAATTATACCACATACCAAGCCATACTGGCTTGTCAAAGCGTGATCCTGTCAGATCTCAGAAGCTAAGCAAGGCTGGGCCTGGTTAGTACTTGGATGGGAGACCACTGGGAAAATCAGGTGCCACAGGGGGGTGCCAGTTGCAAAAAAACTATCAATGTGTCCTTAGGTAAGACACTTCACCCACATTGCCTAGTATGATAGTGGTGTGTGCATGAGTGATGGTGGTGGTCGGAGGGACTGATGGCGCCGATTGGTATGGCAGCCACATTTCTGTCAGTCTGCCCCAGGGCAGCTGTGGCTACAATAGTAACTTACCATCACCAGTTATAGAGTGAATGAATAATGCTTAATGATGCTCTGTAAAGTGTCTGTGAAAAGCACAATATAAATAGAGATTTACTTAAAATAAATAAATATTGTTAGCAATAAAAACAGTAAAAATAGAAATAAAAACAATTGAAAAAATCAATTCTTGAAGAATGAACAAAAAACACTCCGTTGCTGTAGTGGACTGTGGGAGCCTGGGCAGAGGGCACTCTTTGGTTCGAGATGGATACCTTTCATTATCAGCACGAGTACCGCAGCAACTGGACAAGACCTGGTTATTGATATAGGTGCCTAAGCTACACTTTTTCAAAGCATATTGTTATTATTAAGTATTATAAATGTACATTAAATAGAACATTATTTTGAAAAAATAAAACACTTTTTAATCATTAAATCATCAGTGTTGTCACAGTGCCTTAAATCTTGTCTATGCAATTAAAAAAGATATATACCAAAAAACAAAAAACTAAGAAAAAATAGTTATGTTCTACTGTGTGTCTGGGAGTAGAGTTCTTTTTGGCACTAGTTAAGTCAAATTCTCAAGGGCAAGTCACTGTATGAAAGGGAAAGTAGTGCATTATTTCATAAGAAAGCTACAAAAGTTACAACATGCCAAGTCAGCATACATCTTTTCAAGGTTCAAGGGATTGAGGGTTAGAATGATTAATGTATTGTTACTACAGATTATTCAGACCAAAAGTGTATATTTTCATTTTGTCCGTATCATAGCATGTAAATTCTGTCTATGACATTTGTTACTCAAAGTGAAAAGTCGCAGCAGGCAAATAGACAAGCCAAAGAGGTTTATGACTGAAGCACAGACTGGACTTTATAAATGTGCTGTGCCTGTGTGTCCCTAAATATTACCTCCCACTGTGATAAGCGGAAGTTTGCGTCCCTTACCTGCCCACTATGATGAGCAGAGGTTTGCGTCCCTTACCTGCCCACTATGATGAGCAGAGGTTTGCGTCCCTTACCTGCCCACTATGATGGCCATAAGCTTTTGCAGGGGCTTGAGCACCATCCACACCAGAGGGGCAGGAAGAGCTCGACGTGGAGCCGAGGTATGGAAGCGTCCACACCGGGTATGTGCCCCAGTCGTGTCCCGGGGTGGAACAGTATTGAAACAAATACATCTGCTGCCATTTCTCCAAAGTAGTAAAGGTTCAGTTGCATTTGTTAGTCTATGACAGCCGACAAAACTGTGTTGTTGGTTCGGTACATGATGCGGTTTGGAGAGTTGAAAGTTTTGCTTCAGGAAGGTAGGCAAAATTATGCGATTCTTCTTTAAAAAATTGCCAAGAAGCAAAGCCATTGTCAGTATTTTCAAGTAGCATTAGGTAGGTAGAAGGATAAAAATAATACATGAAGGTTAAGTTAGCATTACTTTGACGGTGACATGCCCAGGACCGTACATCTACCCGCTGCAGCTGTCAATGTCATTGCGACTTTAGCACGCTTTAAAAACCCCGTTAGCGCAAACCACGTTTTCCGGTGTCAGGATTTTCTCATAACATGTGAGAAACGTGAAGCCTCCATGTGTCATTCATAGCAAAGTACGACATTAGTAGTTTGGTGTTTGGATTTCTTTGGATAGTTTTATGTCCCTCTTCTGTAATGATCCCCCTAGAAACACGTCCACACTGATAGTTCCGATTCTGACAGGACTTTTACAATTTTCTCGCATATTCCTACATATCAACAAAATGTAAAAGCATTTGACGCTTAAAACAACTATGTCACATGCATAAAGATGAAATACAGAAACAAATATAAAAATATTTTATTACTAACAAATAAAGCGGCTATAAACACTGCCTTGTCTAAAAACACTAGCATTGCATCAGCAACAGCCTTAAACTATATTTGAATAATACTAGAATAACAACTCTCAACTTGTATGCATAAAAGTGAATAGATATTATCAGGCTCACAGCAAATAGTCATGTTCAGTGGGCAGCACAGAGCCCAGGTGAAGTACTACATTGTCTGCAGCAGTGGCCTTGGTGTGATCTGATTTAGAGTCCTGACTGGTGTCTCCTGTCTGGGACATCTGGTCAGAATCATCAGAGTCCAATGGTTCAGGGACATTCAAAGTTTCTCCTGCATCTTGGTCAAATGTTTGTTGATTTGGAATAAATTCTGACTGGAAAAGAGCTTGAATTTGTTCAAGAAAGGGGTCTCCTTCATCATCCGGCAGGGGCTCCAGGTACTTAGCCAAAGAAGACAACATCTAAAAAGACAAAGAAAAAGTATGAAAATGGATGAAGCACAAGAAATAGGAAGACGTAAATGTGACACAAATTTTAACACACCTTCTCGAGGCACGTAAGGTGTGAGTCTCTTCTGAAAAAACGGTTCATTTGCACACTTCTGGGGAAAAAAAATTTAAATAACAAAATAAACCCACAATGTACAGTATATAGGCCAGCCTTCTATTTCTGGCAGTTTCAAGACCAGCTAAAATGAGAAGGCTGTGATCACAACAGCTTAAAAAACAGTCAATAATTTACTGTACTGCAATTAGAGAAAAAGAAACATAAGACCAATCGCTCAGAAAAGAATACACAATGCACTTACCCTGGTGTTTGGGAATATTTCTGGATAATCCACTGTGCCCTTCGTAAAGTCTGATCCCAGTCTGGAATGTCTTGTGATGGTAGAAAGTCAAATTTGTATGGCAGCTCTGGAAAAAAAAAAATCAAGAAATTATCAATATGGTTGTTGTACACATGTTCCAGTTTTGTTTTGATTTCTTTTAAATATTATTGTGACTTGTGTAAAAGACATACTCTGTGATCCTGACTCGTCATGGGGCTCTTTCACCAAAAGGCAGGTGGTCTGAGAGTGAGGGGATGGATTTGCAGGATCATATGGACTCACAATCATCCCAATAAATGGAGCACCTCCCCTTGAGAAATAACTCTAAAATTACAGAAAGACAAAAAACATATTGTTAATTGAAATAAACAAAATAATCAAACCTATTAGAGATGTTTTAGAATATAAATATCACCAGTTATCAACTTTGGTCCATATCATAAAAATGTACACGACTGCTTAGCACTATTTGCACAGTATGTAAAAATTTTACTTTTTTAACTTGTAAATGCTGCGGCCACAGTCTATTGATTTACCTGGAACTGGTCCTGAGTGTGTATGTCCCGTACAGAGGGGTTGGGATGGAAGGAGGGGTGTGAGTGGTACCAGCCCACCACACTGTAGCCCAGAGAGGACAAAGTGTCACAGGCCAAAGTCTGAGACACAGGGTCCATCTCACACTGCAGGCCTGTACTCATGCTGTTACAAGGTTCAGCCACGCAAACCTAACAATTACACATGTAAGAAATCACACACATAATACAAAAGTGCCTAACATGATGCTAGTTAACTATTCCTCGTACCTTTAATATCTTATCTTCCTCATTGTAAGTTCCACCAAGAAGACCAATGACTTCCCCTTGAGACACATGAGCATGCTAAGAAGAACACATCCAGTCAATATTTACTGATTTCAAAGAAAAGAGCAAATCTGGCAAAAATATAGTAAATGTTTACCATGTCCATAATTAACAGGGTCTCTGCACAGACTATGGTCTGGAATGGTTCCTGTATAAATAATTTCATAGTAATTACTTACTTATTTCAATGGCATATATAGTTTTACTGTTAATATACTAGTTTATATGTAATATATTGTTTTATTTATTCTGTTTTGAATTCTTAGAATTATAATAAAAATGTCTGACTTTAAAAAATTAAAGCATTATGACCATAATTACATATAGTACATAAGATTAGTAAAAGAATTTTACAATGTACTACTGCAAAATGAGTGCTCACTGCCACTAACCTGCACATCCTCTCCAAATGATCTGCAAGGGATTAGCTTGAAGGGATCAAATGACCTGTAAAAGAATAATGTTCAATAAAACATACACTGTTTTGAATTGGACATAAAGTACCAGCAAACTCACCCCTTGTACCTGGACATCTTGGACGGTTTGGGCATGTTTTTCATCTCCTCTCTCCTCTTGGCGAGTTCTTCTGCGCTTAGATGCTGGTTTGACCAAAAACAAAAATAACAGTGTGGCACATAATTTAAATTGTACTACTAAAACGTTCCCCAACAAACCTCATATGTCTGTCCCTCCAAGTCTTTAGCATCACACCAGTTCCCCCAGATGTCTCTCACACGCCGCTTCCTTGTCCGCTTCATTAATCAAACAAACAAAAGGTAATAAATTAATATAAATATATTTGTGTCATGTGTTGGCCTTTGAACAGCTCACCATGCTCTGCAGCCTCTGAGCCAGCTGATAAGCCTCCAGCACATCCTTGCCCTCTTTTTGTTTGGTCCGGTCCACAATTCGTGGACGATTATACACTGCTTGCTCTAAAAGTATAAAGTAGGGTTGTTTATGGTTAATCAGTTAAACAATGTATTGCCAAAATCTGCATTGGTCAATTATTTGAATATACAAAATAAATGCTAAAATAAGGTTACAGTCCAATTGAATTAGGTTAATAATATAAAATGTGATGCACAGTCACAGCAACTGTTGTTTTTAAGGGTACTTTTGAAACAGTGTTAGAAAGTCTACTTACCACAGTTAAAGTTAATGGCTCCTATAAGCTCCAGGTACGTATGTATTCTCCCAATGCAGTTCACATCACCACAGTTTTTTAGCCCTGGTCGGACAGACGTCTTATTGAGGTATTTGGGTTTGCTCTTGGACCTGTTACAGTATATTAAAAATATATATTAAGACCAGTTCAACATAAACATTCGTAGAAACAATGAGACAAACCAACAAACCATTGATCCAGGATATAGTTCCTGATCTTTAAATATCTCTCAGGGGTTTTGGAAGGACGTCCCTCAAAGAACTCTGGGATAGCTTGTTTCTCATCTTCGGTGATGACCTCTGGGTCCATCTCGATTTCCTGTTCTGGAGGCTTCAGCTCTTCCTCTTCATCATCCTCTTCTTGGTTGTCGTCTGGTCCCATGTTGTTCTCTTCTGAAAGAAAAAAAATGTCTTAGAATTTTGGAAGGAACATATTATATTGTATTTACATTATTTACATATTATTGATTCAGCATGAGTTAAAGTTATGTAGTATATGATGTTTAGTGTAAGATTTTTTTTTTTTATTAAAAGATGTTCAGTTTATGCTCCTACCTGTGTCTTCATTGCATTCCTCTCTTGGTGGCTGCACCCTTTCAGAGCCATTAGACTGGTAGCATTGATCCTCTTGTTTAATTTGCTTTGCCTCTGCCTCTGAGATTTTGGCAAGAATTTGTTCATTTTGTTCAGCATTGTCAGGCTGCTTTGTGGAAACTAAGGAGGATGTGGGTCCATCTAAAGACCTGAGGCTACAAACAGGTTTATCTTCATTCTCATTCAAACTCTCTGTTATGAAGAAGCCTAAATCTCCCTTCTCTGGTCTTGCATTGTCTATTTCAGTGTCTGTGGCTTCAGATTTCACTTGGATGCTACTTGGTTTATCTTCTGCAGGTTTACAATCATCATCTGTAATGTCTATTTCTTCATCTTCGTCATCAGAAAGCTTCTCTATTCGCACAGCATTGGCCAAAGTGTATGGATGACTGGAACTGGTCTGAGGTTGCATTGACAGCACTGGGCCTTTAGAGGGAGCTCCAGCTTTGACTTTTGATTTGGCCTGAAAATGCGTAACATAACATGTTTATTACAAAACTATTGTTCTGACATTGGATTAGAACATACTGATGAGTTATAGATGCATTAGATAACTTTTCTGGTGAAGGGTCTGCCACATCTATAGCAATAATATTGCTTTACTTAAGATAAGATATTTCACAGTATGACAGTAAACTTTCCTGTTTTCATGGAGTCAAGTAGGAGGATGTCACCAGGCCAAGTAGCAAAAGAGAGGAGAGGCAAGCCCATTCATATCAAGAATGCATGATTTTACAAGGTATTTTTTGGCAATCAAACACTTGTAACTGAAAAACACTACAGGACAAGCTGTAGTATTTCAATGAAGATAGGCAGGCGACAGAACCTATTCCAGAAAAGTTGCACAGTGTGTCTTTAAACCAATTAAAATATGCAAAAAAAGACAGAATGAGGAAATAAAGTCTATGCATACACATTACCTCTTGCTTTAGGTACTGCCGGGCATAACTTTTGACCTGAAGAACAGTACGGCTTCCCATAAGTTTGGCAATCTTAGTCCACCGTCGACCATATTGAGCCTAGCAAAAATGAATAATAAGAATACTATATCCAGAGAGGAATAAAAGTATTTTTGCAAAGAACAGCTTTACTATTTAAAATCATACCAGTCCTTCTTCAAAACACTTCTTTTCCTCAGCAGACCATCGAGAGGAGGACGCAGGGGATGATTTAGCTGGAGACCTAAACAAGAAAAGGGTAATTAACAATAAACAACAAAACTGATCACACCTATTATTAAACCATACAGCTTAAATGAGTAGTAACTTACTTTTTGACTTTTGGCTTGTTAGACTCACTTTGCCAAAAGTTTTTAGGGATTTCCTGACCTGTTAAGTAGTATCTGTGTATTATTAAGGGGTTTTAACTGTAAATGTATGCATCTAATAGGAAATCTAATAAGAATACAAAAAATTAAAACGGCTTTTAGAGTCACTCTACAACATTACATTTAAAACTATATAGAATATCGTAGTTGAAGCTCATTTGTAAAGACAGATATGATTAATGAAGTAGTGAGTTAAAGGATACTGTTCTTCCAAGAGCATTTTCTCTATAACTTCTCTGTTTTCTACGCTGATGGAGCTGTCTAGTTCCCAGGGCTGTAAAATGGAAAACACAATGGAAAAAAAGCATAATCTCTCGCACCGATGTCAAGGCTGGACTATTACTGTTTTATAAAGCAACTACTCACCATTATCCCCGCGCTGCTTTTCCACGTCGACTGCAAAAACTGCTCCTGAATGAGCCCCCCACCGTCTAGCTCACTAAAACATGAGCAAAATCAGCTGTCAGACATAAACTAATTCAAGTCCATCTTTATGCTAGTACTAGAGTTAAAAAAGCGACAACAGCTAACCCAACTTTGAACCGGAAAACATTGTACCACATGCAGAACAAAATTACATGACAAATAGGTCATATATGTACATAACTGGGTGTAAAACAAACCTAATACTGCTCTCAAATGCATCTCCTTCGATGTCAACATCAACCTCGTCCTCCATGTTGTTGTCTTGTTTCTTCTGCGGATTACCAAATACTCAATCCTGCCTCCTACCGTCCTTTACGCGTAGCACACTGGCCTAAAATAAATAATACAACTGACTAATACTTATATGAAATATTATTCTTATTTTGATGACATGAAAACAGTTAAAATAACCATACAGCTACTATGTCTATAAATGCTTTTGTGTGGCAGCTACAAAAACCTTTTTATAACAAAGACAGTAACATTATTAAATCAATATGTTAAAAAGTAACACAGTATTATTTTCATCAATAATATACTTTTTGACAAAAATGATCTATTTTAGAAGCCTATCAGCATATTATAACCTTTATTTGGTTAAAAATGTGTTTTTAATCGCTGATTACTCGACTACTGAAGTTAGTCAATGTTTTCTTAATAATGTAATTTAGATTTCTTTTACAGCGTTTTGACTAATCAAAATGCGCTTCTATCAGTGTGCCCCAGGGCAGCTGTGGCTACAATAGTAGCTTACCATCACCAGGGTATAGAGTGAATGAATGAATGCTGAATGAATAATGCTGAATAAAGTGTAAAGCGTCTTTGGGGACAGAAATGTCTGTGAAAGCCCTATATAAATAAAGACTTACTTACTAATCCATTGTAAGTTTAACTAATTGGACATGGCAACATAGTCCCATAAAGATGATTTGATGGTTTATTTAACACTATAATGAAAATAAAAATGTATAATACTGGTCTAACTTGGCGCTATTGAATACGGATAAATGTATTATTACTGAATAATAATTATTATTACAAGGCTGGAGGAGTGTTAAATAAGGAATAATAAAAAAAAAAAGTTAAAGACAACAAAAAAAAAAGTTTTATTTAGAAATTCACAGTTTCTAATGGCACTACAGTTTTTGTAGTAACTCACTCGTGCTCCAAAATACTGTGCAGCTCTCAAGAGTAGACAGAAATAAAAATGCATACACAAGAAGACAGAAATCATATAGAAAGAAATTATAGCACTTAAGCTTTTAAAACAAAACAAAAAGGCATGGGGAGTCATACAAAGTGCCAAAGAACTCCTAAATTCCTCTCCAAAGTCTTTCAGAATGAGTACATTTTAAAGTAGTCCTTCTCTTAACACAGAGAAACACGCATACTGACACACAACCAAATGCAGACATACAATTCGAACAAACATACACATAAAAGATCATAAACATTCAAAACAAGTAAAACATTTGGATTTGTGGAACATAAAATCATGTTAATAGTGTTCCTAATTAATCTCAATCTTTCCCTTTATTTAAGAACATAGTATTTCATTCAAGGTGGGGCAGACACATGAGCGAAACAGCAATGATGAGTTGATAAAAGCTTGGATAAGTGTTTGAAAAAAAAAAGACCCAGCCTGAGAAGCTAAAAGTGGTTTTAAAAGCACATCTGTTAAAATGTTTCACAGTTACAGAAAATTCATGCAATGGACCTTCACTATGACTTATAGATGAAGACGTGTAGGAGAAAAATAGAAAGATAAAAACTGATTGCAAGCATCAGAAGAAATGTCTCAGTAAGAGGCAGGAGAGAGATTTGTGAAGTCTGCAAACTAGATCATGTCCAACCAAACAGAGCAATCAGAAATGCCAACAATTTGGAAAGAGAAAATATATTAAAACGTTATTATTCTAACGTAGTACTCCTTCTATGGCCAACTTACAGTATTAAATGAATGTTGTAGTAAGATGGCCAAGAAATGGTTTGAAGGTTTAAAATGGTACACACACTCAGAAGAGATGCTAGCTTTAGCCCTTCCCAGACAACACAAGCAGACGCATACAGCTGCAGCAGGACTATAGACTTAGAAAGATGAATAAACCACTCCTGTTCACATTGTTTGAGTACCATATTGTATGTTTTGAACTACTGAGACCCTGCAGGTTTAGGAGACTGGCAAGCCAGCGCCTACTTATAGAATCCTCTGTAAATAAATAAATAAATAACTGTGGTCTCATCTGCAGGGTCCCAGTAGTAGTAATTTTCTGTGTAAAAAGTAAAGTGTAAACATGAAATAATTTTGTAAGTGCAGCAATAGTGAGACGTCAAACAATCAACCCAAAATAACAATAAGAAAAGAGTAAAGAAAAAAAGTTTATAAATATACCTTGCCTTCCTTCATAGTGAAAAAAATATCTCATCTATACAACCTGATATCTGCTGCTGCTTATGTATTTACAACACAGGGCTGAAGCTAAACCACAAGTTCTACGACATTCACACAAAGGTAGTTTTCTTCATTCAGCTCTTATGGTTGGTTTGGACAAGACTGACAGACAGAACAGAGATAGGCTTGACACTGTGGTCCCATACAGCCCTGGAGCAGTGCCAGGAGGTAACACTAAAATGAGAGGAAGAAAGAAACAGATAAGAGTCAAAAACAGAAGAGTTGTTGTTATAGTTAAGTTCCATGCAACTGGTATGACACTTTGAATCTAAAAAGAGCAGCCTCTCCTAAACCCCCATGTATGAAGGAATGACACGTCTGTGAATCCAGAGCCTCCTCAATCTGAGCTTCTGTGGATGTCAATGGGTCTGACTTCATGAATGTTGTTCGCCCCACCACAGTTTCATTTTGTTTCACCTCATTTTAAATGTTTCTACTTAAAGGTAGATATAAAGGCACATAACCAAAATGAACTGTTTGACATGTTTTGGCCAGTACAATGTAGCTACTGTGTCCACCCTCACAGTTTGTCTGTGTGATTGTGGGAGTTGTGGGTCTTTGGTTGCAGCCAGATTTATCTCCTGTCTGCTACCGTACAGTGTTCAAGTTTTCATTAAATGAATGTGAGGCCTCAGACATGTCCAGTGACAGCGGTCACTCCAATGGTCCCAACACTAATGTCCTTGTTTCCTTTAATGAGCGTCTGCAGATTGGGCAGAGAGCTGACGCCACCTCTTGGCAGTGACGGGAACGGCAGCTCTGTCTGCTTGGATTTTCGCCTCTTCATCGAGCGCTTCTCCTGACGGGTTTTAGAGGGCTGGTGCAGGGCGAAGGGCAGACTGTGGCCATTACAGAGGCCATTAGGGGGCAGCACAGGTGAGGGAGGGGGCAGGCGGCTGGTGTAGGACTCCTCTGAGTGGGACGAGCTGCAGCTGCTGCTCTCCGATGGGATCTCTACAGTGGGACAAGGGGGCAGTAACAGTACCTCCTCCACTGGGGAGGGGGGCAGTGCCAGGGGGGGTGGGGGCGGAGCAGGAAGAGCAGGAGGCACCACAGGAGCAGGTAAAGCTGGATGAAAGCCATTGCACTTGAGAACACCATTAATCAGTGGAGCGGGATGGTCTGTATTCAGTGTCTCCACTTTGTCCAAAGACTTGGTCTTGCCACGTTTTTTCTGTGGAAAATACAAGTGTAATTTAAAGTTTGAAGTTGATATAGAGATGGGTAAATATAAAAGGAAGTGTTAAAAATGAAAGGCTTGCCAAGACTGGGATTGATGATAGCAATAATAAGCTTAGGGGACTACATCTTATTTTCTGTCACACCATTGTTCTCTGCATCAGCAAAAACCTTTAAACTATGTTCAGCTACGTACAGACCTACACAACAAAACATGAGCTAATACTGAACAGCAGCAGTGAGAGGAAACACTGTACCTTTTTCTCTGGAGAAAATCTTAAAGGTTCTACAATGTACAAGTCATCTGGACCAACTGGGGAGGGGAGAGAGGGGCAGGTTAATGATGAAATGGAGAACAGAATAATAGAAGCATGAAAGGATCTTCACAGTATCTATACCAGTATACATATATACTACACAAAAAAATCCACTTTTCTTTGATTGCTACTTGCAAATGTCTACCATGGGCCTGCAGAGCCCTAAGTCTGAGCCCTATTATTATGCTCCTTAAGCCCACATGTGGTCACAAGCTGGCAATGACAGCCAGTCAGTCTGAAGGACAATCTCACACATGCATACACAGTACACACCATGCCAAGGAATAATAGCCAGCAGGGGGAGTTTCAGGTTTCAATTTACAAATGCTTGTCTTTTTTCTGTTTCCTGGACAGACCCCCTACTCTATCCTGTTGCTCTAGGCAGTTACAAAAATGTATGTACTGCTTCTAAGAACTGGCAACCAAAAAAAAGGGTGAACTGGATAACTGCAATGATAAACAAACTATAGTACACAGATGATCCTAAAAACAATATAAAGGGTAATACAGAAGGAAAAACCTGGTGGGTTGCATATTTAAAGGTGAAGTTTGTACCTTCTGTTGAAGACAAGTGAAAAGACTTGGAGCGGACAAGTGGACATGCCACCCTCCGTTTTATACTCATGTCGTCATAGGAGGAAAAACACCTGAAAGAAAGCGTATACGTAAGATTTCAAACAGGTCAACAATTTAATTATATGCATACACATATAATACACCTGACTTCTAGTTCAAGAAAATTCCCTTCCATTATCGCTCTGCTATCAAAACTAGAATGTATGATCTCATATGCATTTTAACAGACATAAGGAATGAGGAACAAAAAAACACAACAAAAAATGAGAAAAAACAAGGTAACAACCAGGTGTGACTTTTCTAGTACCACATTAGAGTGAGAAAAGATAACTGTTAAAACAGTTTAAAATCTGATACACAATATAGTACTGTACTGTACTCATATGGTAAATTAAGATTATATAGTAGAACAGTAGATACTGGAGGACATGGTGGAAAAATCTTACCTCTTGGGGCTGGGGTAGTGATTGCTCTTGGGCAGGGCCACAGTGCTGATGTTGGGGCTTGGAGGAGAGCTCCTGCAGCACTGCATACACAACATGATACCCAGAAACAAGCACAAGACCAGAGACACCACCAGGTAGCTCTGTCGGTCTGATACCTGCAGGCAAATGTGCAATTATTTTCATAATTGTTCAATGAAAACCTATAGAAAACAGTTTGCCTTGCAGCTTGTACAGGTGTGGTACTGTTACCTCTCTCTGTAACTGACTGACAGTGGCGGTGAGATTGAGCATTAATTTAGTCACATTTTCCAGTTGGTTCTGCAGAATCTGGATGGACTCAGTCTGCTTCTGGTCCTGGAGAAAAAACAACATGTAATTGGAAAAAATAAAAAAAAGAAAGACTGTTTATTCTGACCTCCAACTGAATAATAGTAAAGTACTGACCTGCTCCTCTGCAATACGTGATGTGTTTTGAAGTTTGATGATGGTCTTATTGAAAGCTCTTTGCATTTCTTCCATCTGTTTGCGATACCTTTAACATGCAAAAGTAAAATCATGTATAATACTGAATATTTAACCTAGTACAATCAAATGTCTATACTTGTATTATACCACAGGATTTACCTTTGGCTGAGCTCTTCCAAGTATCTGCTGGATAAACTCATATTCATCTCTAGTGCTTTGATCCGGTTGTTCAGCCTCATAAAGACGCTTTCTTTCTGACTGGACCCATGGACTGCTCCTCCATTGCCGTTCACTGGCCCACCATTATAATCACCCCCATTCTGCAGCTCTGCATAGAAGTCTGTGGCTGTTCGGTGACCATTCCCATTGCCCGCACCGTTTAAAAGGTCATCTTCAACTGTGTGATCATTGTGGTGGGCTTCTCCATTTTGAGTGGTAGGGTCCCCATGATCCCCGTGGCTCTGAGAGGACTGCTCTGCCTTGTCGGCGTCTGTATGAGAGTCAGTTGTGGGCAGGTGAGCCGGTAGTCCAGTTGGTGGTGCTATCATGTCCTCAGGTCGCGAGGCAGTGGGTAACGGTTGGATCGGCTGCTCTTTCACCGAAGGAGCAAAAGCCGATGAAGGTGCCTCTGATGCCACGGATTGAGGCGTGGAGTTGAGAATGGGGGTCGGGGTGGCTCTGCTGGCCTGCTGTGTCTCTGGGATGGACACAGCCTGGATGGGAGGGGTGGGGAGAGGGTCCAGGGCGGAGTCTTTGACTGGAGGTAGAACCTTGTCCTCATTGGTGGGCGTGGGCCGCGTGAGGGAGCTGTGACTGTCTGAAAAGCTCTGCGGTGGGATGGAGGAGGTCTGACTTGGTTCGAGGAGAAGGTTGAAATCTGGAGTGTGTGTGTCGTTGATTTCAGCTGTGAGCACATCATTTGTAACGTCACTCTCGTGTGTCTCTGGTTCTGGAACAATTTCTGTGACAGGGAGGATGTCTTGTGAAGGGGGAGTGACAGGTGCAAGGACAGGGGTGTGTGTGGGTGAAGTGGAGCTGTGGTTGTGTGTGTGATTCCTCCTGCGTACACTGCGGAGTCTTTCTTTAGAAATTCGGGCCGAACACCAGCGGTGCAGAAGCTCGGGCAGTGTGGCCATACAAGACAGAGAGAGGGAGGTGAAAGAGGAGAAGGGACAGTATGCCTGGCTCTCCCACTGGTTTCGATCAGCCTCTTTCCTGCCCTGCTCCTCCCTCGTCTCCTCCTCTTCCTCAGTCTCCTCCTCCATCAGTGTCACTGTGGATCGCTGCGGCTCTTCCTCCTCCTCTTCCTCCTCAACCAGAGTCACGATCTGCCTCTCCTCCACAGGCTCAGGGGGGGTCAGTGGGGGGGTGGAGGACTGAGTCGTATTGATCTTTTCTTCAGAATGGGCTGACTGTCCAGGCTCCAGGCTAGAAGTGAACATGAGAGATTACATTTTATTGTCAGAAAGTGCTCAGAGTGTTGGGTCCATGCTAATTAATTTTGTTGATAATCTGTCCTTACATTGCAGAGGGTTGGATGCTTGCAATATGCTGAGAGGAATCCTCTTTACTTCCATCAACTTCATTCTGGGCCTCACTTGATGCATTACCTGAAAATGATTGAAAGTAAATATATTTGCTAAGGCTTAAGGAAAGGAAAAGAAAAAAATATACATGTTACTTTTGATTTTGGGATAGCTTTGCTAAAAAATGGAATTGGGGAGTAGAACAATGTACATTTATAATCTTGGAGTAGCTGTGGGAGGTAGGGTATAATACAATCTTTGCCCTCTTTTGGGATACTAGCAGGCCTGTGTTTAGATATAAAAAAAACTAAAACTGGTCTGAACCAGTCTGAACTGATTCATTTCCTTCAGTATACCCCCCTTGTCCCTCTACAGAGTGCCTGTGAGGTAAAGGCTTTTTCACCACCAGACCCCAGGACCGATAGCGCCTGCCAAGATTCGCATAAACATCTGGCTTTCTCAGAATATGTACTGTATGTATGGCTTGGGATTGGACTGTGCATATGCAAACATTTTAAAGCAGAGAAAATGACCTAGATTCAGAACCGGTTAATCTAAACATTGTGTGCAAAAGCAAGTTCCAAAAAGCTTCTAGGAAGTCAAACAGAGTTTCACTGTGGAGGAACTATGCTCAGAAAACCTTCAAATGTAAATTAAAATGCAAAAGTGAGAATATACAGCATGCCGATTGTATTTGTGATGTTTCTGGTTTCTCTTTGTTTTTTTTGTTTTGTTTTTTTATCCCAATATTTAGTTTTGATACTACTTTTGTATTTAGTAAATGGGTATTTATACTTTTGATAAATGTAATTATTAACTTTTATAACTTTTTAACCACAAATCCCTTCCTGATGACATCAGGAGGTATTTACGGCACCTGGTCACACCTAAAGTTTTGTAATGTTGACAAAGACTAAGAAATGATCCTTACATAGTGTGCCTCCACTCTTATTTTCAAAATAGACTGTAATAGACCTGGTACACAATGCATGATGAAGGTGTACTTGTTATATTACAATATAACAAAGTGTTGGAGTTCTTCATCTTAGAAAAGCATTGACTGAAATAGACTATAAATTGGAAATTGGCTCCATGCCACAGAATACTCAGAATACTTAAATAAAGGATAACAAAGTGTTACGCCAGTACACCTGGAATACATACCATTTTCTGCTCCACCCTCCATCTCTGGCCCTCCACCAAGAACGTTAGCAGCAATGTTATTTACCATGTTAAGAATGGCATCTATAAGAAGACAAAAAAACTCATTTATTCTTTTGTGAGTGTTTGGACATGAGGACACAATTTGAACAATGAACTTCTTTGAATTAAAGAAGCATTTCTAAGTAACACCAACACCAAGTAAGTGATGAGAATTTAAAACTGAAAGTTGCAACCACAGGCAGCTAGAAAATGAAAAAAAAAAACCAAACAAAAAAAACTGTCTCATAAAACATATTGCTACATTTTTCTTTCAACTACTCAAAATGAGTGTTGACAATTATCACATTGTTGCATAATTCTTTCTATTACGCAAAGCCAAACCAAATGATGAAGTTGTGTATTACATGGCATGTGTAGCGTGCATGTGTACATACTGGTAGCTGAGCCCAGGAGGTTTTTAGAAGCCTTGTCTTCGGATGGTTGATAACCTGGAGGATAATCTGATAAATCAAAACACACAGAGGAAATTATGTCAATTACGTATGCATTAAAATAACTTAATTTACATGTATAGGGCAAAACAAATGCACAATATGTCATTTGAGAAAAAAAGAGGAAATGGCTGAGCTGGTATTTATAGTCAACCCTAGCCTCAGGCATGTGGCTACAGGGCCTGCAACATGACTCCGCTGATCTGTAGGAGATATGCTGCATGTGCATTGTTCTTCCACAAGTAACATAATGGCCATTTTGTGATTAAAGTATCAGGCATTAAAACCATGTAAAGTCTTACTAAAACACAGAGTGATCCATTTTGCTCAGGAAAGGGACAAAAAGTTTAATAGTATTTTTTTTTCCCCCTGCAAACTACTTTTCAACGTATCCTTTTTTTGTGTGTCTTACCATAGTCTTCGTCTAGAAAATCTACTCTTTCTGAGGGGTCCTGGGAATCTGCGATCTCGTCATACTCCTCCACCATGCTAGTACCAAACACTCTACAAACACAAAGACCAAGTTACTGCTCTGAACATGACTTACAAATCATTAAGCGTTTCCTCAGGTCATAATGAACCGAAATGGCTATGTATGAGATGGAGCAGCGGAAATTGAAGAAAACTAATCTTGAGCAAGTAGCATGTATTTACTTCATGAGATTTTCATCTGTCTTAAAGGTTCAAATAACAAAAAATGCATTTTCTTTCATCCCTCAAGCAAATAGTTTTAGATTAAATAAATATGCAAAATACAGAAAATATTAAAAGTCAGAAACATCTAAAAAAAAAAACTAGTAGATTAAAAAAAACTGTCACTAAACAGTTAAAAGTTCAAATTCAAGTCATTTTTACAAATCCATATTCCCATTTGGCAGTTTAGTTTTCAAAGACTGTTGCGCTATCAACACAAGCTCATTTTCCACATTCCTGGCCCATCTCCCCTCTACCCCACAGAACATGTGAATATCAGCATTTGCTGTCAAACCCAGAAGAGCTTCATATGTGCTCAAGGCAAAGTTACACTTTATGTCCCAACAGTGTATGGTATGTTACACATGCAAATTATGATTTAGGAGGGAATTACCGAATGAGACTGAGAGGACAGAAGTGTTCAGATCCAAAATGAGAGAGAAGTTCCACCTGCAGAAAGGACAACATTACACAATTTAACATATAGGAAAATACAAACGTACATCCAGAGACTACAACAATGTGGAAAATAAAATTTTATTACTTCAAGCTAAATGCATACATAGATTTAGCACACACACAGTATAATATGTACATAGTAAGATCTAAAACAATATACACCTTTGCATTATGCAGTTATAAAATTTGAGTTTTTAGCCATGAATCGCATAAAACTTCAAGATAACTTAGCGTATTCTGTCCCCTCACAATATTTCACTCTGTGTGTACTGAACCAATATGCAATTTACCTCAGAAATAATTTAATAAAAAAAATAAAAAATCTTCCAAAGTTTCTGGGGTGCCACTCCCAAAACAGTGCTTCCCAAAGCACAACCCACAATCCCCCACGCGTGAAAATGTGTTTAACTTGGTTAATGTGCATGCATTAAACACAAATAACTCTTCCCATTTAGACAATGACCATTTTAGAAGCATCTGACCGAAAGAAGAATGCTAACCTTTATGTACTTGATGAACATCTGAGGAAAGAGGAAGACAGGAGAGGGACAGGAGGCAAGAGAAAACAGAAAATTGGTGAAGAACAGTTTAGCTAAAAGCAAATCGTGAACAACAGCCATCATTGATTGTTTTTATGCTTAATTAACAGTGGACTATGAATTCACAGATCCAAAATAGAAGAAAGCATTTGAAGAATTTCATAATTGCACAATAATATACCCACTGTATTATAGATAAAATTATTTCATGATAAAGGCAAGTGAGCAAGTCTGAAATGAACAGGAGTTTAGAAAAGGGTTGTAATATTTGAGCTCAATACATAAAGGTAAATGAACAGGAAGGTTCACAAAGGATCTTGTTCAAGCACAATATACATTACGATTTGTACTAAAAATGTAGTTTTCCTGTTCAAATAAAGGCATGCTAAATATTCCTCAATGAATCATGATCAATGATTAATATAAAATGGATAAAAAACAGACTTCAACAGTTTGATGGAGAACTTATGTGTAACTCACCATGAAGTCATAAGTGGGTCCCCTGGGCTTAAAACCTCCTGCTTACTGTTCAGTGTGTTTGTGAAGTGTGATGCAATAATGTAATACAATACAGAACTCCATAGTTTTGATCAAATTTCTATCCTTCAGACAGTTTAAAAGGTACAAAATTATTAAATTATTACCTTCACATATTTTGCATAAAGTTGCTCATCCAAAGGAAAACTCTGGACTGTGCGCTTATCACGAGCGTGGAAAGTGCCGAGCTTCACCCACTTATTTGTAGGATATCTGCACAAACAAAAAAATATATATATTTGTTACAAAACAGTAGTGAAATGTGATTACTCTGAACTCATGGTTAAAGGTGCATTATGTAACCTCTCTAGTTGAGCACATGCCACTTTCTTGTCTTCAAAGTGCATGGATATTTTATTACTTTGCCTTGAATATTCCATAGTATGGCATTAAACTTATCTACATGAAAACCAGCATGTAACACCACCAGACCAAGTAACAAGCTAATCAATGGATTAGCAACTCTGCTCACAGTACTGCATGTTTTCAAAGGTTTTCTTTAGCTATAAGAACACCTTCAGTTGATTAGAAACATTCTAGGAAATGTAAAAATGCATTGAAACCAGCAGGTGGCATACCCTCCAGCAGAAAAGTTACATAGCGAAAAGTTACATAGCGCAGCTGTGATTTGGCTTTGGAGAAATTCTTTTACAAAGAATTGTCATTTTTGTATGTGTACTAGAGCACTGAATTAAACTGGTGAAGCAGTGTAGTACCTGTCACTGAGGGAAACCAGGAAGTCTTTAGGGGTGGATGAAAAGAGCTCGAAGTTGGCAATGTCCAGCTGTTTGACTTGAATGGGCTCACAGAGCTCAATCACAAACCTGTAGAATTGAAGCAAAATTACATTAAAATGATGATCATTGGGCAATCCAAAGATAATAATAAAGATGTACTTGCCATATTTTGGTGCTGCAGGGGTTAAGCATATACAGATCCATATTCTCTTTGAGAATAGCTGAAGTACTCTGGAATATACATATTTAAATCAGTCAGAACCACCACCAGTTCTCACAGGAAATTATTTACAATAATCATAAACAGAACATAATTACAAAGTTGTCAGACCTTGGCCTCGCTGTTGGCAGAAAGGATCTTGGCACCACACTCCACAGAGGCGTAATTATTCTTAAATTTGCTCTGCACTTTCTTCACAGGATGAGGGCTGCTACTAGTCGAGGTGTGAAGAGACTGACCTGCAGAGAGAGGATTCAAGTATATATATTTTTTAAATCTGTGTTTTGAAGTAACTAAAGATAACATATTTTATACATAAAAAGTACTAACTCTTCTCCTTCTCGACCTCCATAACCTGTTTCTTCCACTCGTCAAAGGTTGGGATGTCTTCTTTGGTGGGCACAGAGGGATCCGTTTCCCTGGCAATACTGGCATCTCCAGCCTAAAACACACCAACATGGAATTTAGTCAGAACTGATAACACAAATATGATTATGATTACTTTATTAACAACAAGTAGTTAACTTGACATAATTTTGCCATTTTATAGAGCTTTAGAATGATGTGAAATATTGACCTTCTGTTCTGTGGGGGTTTGTGATGAGTTGGCCTCCAGGTGATGTTCTGAGAGCCCAGTGTCACCCTCCTGCTGCTGCTCCTCTGGGCCTGGAGCAGGCGGCACCTCAGACTTAGTCCCAGATGTTTGCTCATGTTCGTCGTCTAGTCCAGCTTCATCCACACTATGTACAGAAAAAGAGACTATTTAGTTATAGTGCAATGTTAAAAACAGATAAAAATGAAATTAAGTTATGAAGACAAATTAAAAATGATTAACAAAGCTGGTGGATGCAATCTGACCGTAGCTGCTGCTTGGATTTACCTTTCATTTACCTGTGTGTTTTGATTGGCCTTTCTTGAAGTTAGATACTCACCTGGGCACAGGGCTGCCAAAAGGGAGGTTTTCACAGGTTGCCAGTTCAGGGGCATTGACCCTGCACTGTGAGTCAGAGAGCTCTGCAAAGACAAAGCTGTCTACTGGGAGATCATCTCCTTCACTGGCAACCCGCTCTGCACTGAGGGAAAGAAAGGACATGGCATTTACCACACCTCTGTACACAGAGAAAGGCAGAGAGAGGTCGGGCGAGGGAGCGAGGGAGAGATAAGGTAGGAATGAAAGCAAGAGGGAGAAAACAAGATGGAGAAAGAGAGAGACAGCTGGGAAATAGATAGAAGGAAATAGCTAGAAGGAAATAGGTAGGGTAGAGGTGTCCATTCAAGGCAAAGCTGAATGTGTCCATTAATGTTGATTGACATTTCCAGAAATTGTCCACTTCTTCAGGTAATTAAAGTTGAAAGTCCTTAGGCAATCTTCCAGAAGTTCAACTTGTTCATCGTTTCCGGGTTTTGAGGTTTACATGGTATTCCGATTACTCCGATATAATGTTGCAGGGCAAGTCACCAGTTCCAGGAAATAGGTATGAATTTTGGCCATTGATGCAGTGATGCATTGATACAGTGGTAAAACAAAAATTCACAATATGTTCCAAATAATGGAAAAATGATACCAACAAAAAGTTAAAACAACAAACTGTAACATAATGTAACAAAAGACAATGTAAAGGAAAAAAACAAAATGAATTTCATTTATGGTGCAGTGTTGGAATGGAAGTGGCTTTAACCACAGGCGTGAAAAACTGAATCTATTACATTACAAATTGAATAACATTTTCTCTATTGGTTAAAGCCAACCTCCACAGCCGCCATGCACCTATAGTTGGATTGTGTGGGCTTACCTGGTGGGTGGAGGCGGGGTGCCGGTCTCTGAGGTAGGCGTGTTTTCAGCTTCATGTGGGGGTGTGCTCTGAGCTGAGGGAGGGCTGGGGGGGTCTGTGACCTCACTATCACTGGGGATCTCGGCTGCTGGAGCTTCTGAGGGCACGTGGACTGAAGCCAGGACTTGATCAGGGGAGGGGGACACTAGCACCTCCTGGGGCTCGTCCCGGGACACGGGAAGTGGAGCTACATCATTCTGTAGGTCTGGGAGGGGCTCTGGCTCAGCAGTGACGGGTTGAAGGTCCAACTCTGGTTCAGGCCCAATCTCCTCTGCCTCTGCATCTATAGTATTCACATTCTGGAGAAGAACCCACACCAAAAATTAAATGCAAGTATACTGCAGCCATAGTTGTTTTGTTATAAATATAGTGTGTATGCACAAGAACACTACACTCCTTAATGGATATGTCATGTCAGAATCTTGAAGTCTAAAATAATTAAGACTTTGACTGGAAAGCAGAAAACCAGTTGCCTACAACTATTTTATACATGGCATGCCCCTTTGTAAAATATGCAACTGTATCAAAACCTTACATTTTATCTTGAATGTTTTTTAATTAAAAGTCATGCACCAGAGATCCAAATAAGACAATGATAAAAACAAAACTAGAAGAATAAATAAATACATCAGTAAGTCAAATAATGATTGTTTGTATTCTTTAGCAAAGATCTCTCACCTGGTCTGGGGTTTCACTGTGTGCTATTGGTTCCTCTAGTGTTGCTCTCTCCGTCTCCAGTCCAACTTTGTATGATGTGTGTATTGTCCTTTCCTCCTCCACCTATACAAACACAGAAAATGGTACACGTACGATACATTATAATGGAATCATACTGAAACACACATGTCACACACTGTCAAATATCCTTTTATATGAAAATAATGAGTCTAAAGTTTCACATGAGTTTGTGAGAGTCTTTTGTTTGTGGACAAAGAGCGTGTTATACACTGGTGACAGATTGCCAGGCCTGTTGAACTGCCTGGGCAGGCCTGTTTGTTGCACAAAGATTTTCCTTCTTTAGATGCCTGCACAGAAATCTCATTCATTTATCCCTCACGTTGACACAAACCTCCAGATTTCAAACTCATTCAGAAAAATACAAACAGATAGTTCAACCAAAGCCAGTTTAGAGTCTTGTTTTTTTAACAGTTTGTAGAAGCACCAGACTTCCCTGCTCTGTGGCTGAACAATGCCAGGTATTAAGCAGATTACTTCCATTACTTCCTACAGTGACATGGAAGCAAAATGAAAATGACTAATCCAGACTGGCTTTAAGGGAATTATCCAAACAATATTTCTATTAAGTTGCCTGACTTTGAGTAAATATAATGAAATTAGAATGCAGTCAACATGGTTAAAATTAATTTCCCACCAGGCAGCGTACAACAAAGTGCATTCACGATGGGTAACCTTGGTATTCATACAGACTTGCCACAGTCTATTCTGGCATACTAGTAAAGAGCTGCTATATTTTACAGGACTGTAAATGAAGCCTCAGAGTCCATCCCACTGGAAGATGAGGGCAAATAAACATCAGATTTTAAAGACAAAGTAATAGCAGTATTTTCCCCACTGCAGTGCCCAACTGGAGCCTGTTTGAATGCACTTCAAACTGTATATCAGCAGGTCTCTATAATTCATAATATGTACTTGCACATTCATGACATGTACAGTTCACGCTTATCTTACTAAGGATAGCAATAACAGCAATTAGCAAACAATCAGTATATTCATTTTAGTGACTGATTATAAATAAACATGAACCTCCCACAAAACGTCACTGACCATTCGTTTTACTGCTTTACACGTGCTCCCATCTGTACATGCCTCTCCATGACAGAGGTTAGCAGGTCAAAAGTGCTCAACCTATTACTCACCACTGTCCTGTGGCCTAATACAGTTCTGCTAACTCGCATGTTTTAGCACGTCTAATAATACTCACCAGGATGAAAGAGCAAAAACCTATATGCAAAGTTTAATATGGTGGGATTTCCATAGAACCTTATCTAGTTAATAAGAACAATGGCATGTATGTGTTGCATTTAACAGTTTATTAAAATTGCAAAGGGCAAAGGAGAATTCTTGTAAATAATGTTGAAAGTATTATGACTGCAGTAGTTTTATAATTTGGAATAAAGATAAACCATTACAACACCTTTACTTCACAATATTGAACTAATATTCTATTGTACATTCATTAAGATCTATTTAAATACATTTTATCCAATATAAGAGGTTAAAATAAGGTGACTAGACACATACTGTAATAAAAATGTGTTTTAGAATCTCTATAGTCCAGTTTACGATTACACTAATCAAAATACCATTATTTCAGTTGTCTACAAGTCATAATTATTCTGATTAATCATTGCAGCCCTAATGTTCACTAAGAGCTGTTATATTCTTAATTATTCATGAAAAACAAACAACAAACTACAGTATAGTATTATTTATTTAAGTTGGCAGTGCTTGTACACACCTTCTGTTGTGTGAGGTCCTGCTCGTGCTCCTTCTCGTCCGGGTCGGTGTGCCCAGCAGACTGACCCGGGCCAGACAGGCTCTGCTCCGAACAATACACATGATGACTGGGGTTCCTGCAACACAAAACCAAGACAAGATCAGGCTCATTGTCAAAAAAAGAGGCCACGGGTCTAAATTTAGTCTACACGGATGAATGAGTAGTTGCGTAATAAATGAAAATAAAACAAAGAAATGGCCTATATGCATTTGATGGTGTGATAAAAGGCCAGTGATGCAAAGACGCATAGATACAGCTAACTATGCATTCAGCTGCTGTAAAGTAGAGTCCCTCAGGGGGTAATGGCACACAGTTTTAAAGACTGCTAAAAGGTCCAGTTTCATTTGGATACACAATATAAAATACAGCATGTAGTCCTTCAGAATTATATATTAGCCACAGATAACACATTCAAGGCAACAGGGCTTTTGATAACACTTACATTGAAATGCAAGGCAAGAAACAGTTTTGGCTCTAGTATTTGAAAACAAGGAAATTCAGCCAATTCAACCCACAATTTGTTCAAAGACAGCTGGGCCAATGGCAACAGCAAGAGGCAGGGCGTCTAAATACATCTGAATAATTTATGTGGTTCTTAAAATTGTACTGTAGCGCTGAATAATACATGGCACAATGAGAAACGGTTAAGCCTTGACCAGATAACGTAAGGTAGTCTAAGTGATAATGGTGTTTAATGGAGGCAGAAACACCAGATACTGAAGAGATAAAAAGTAACCTAGAACATTCTATCAGTTCAGTGAATATGAGAAATAGCAAGTGGAAAGTAATGACAAAGAACAGCAACTGCAGACTTGAATAAACATTACTGAAATTGACTCAAGGGAAAGTGTAATTGGATATAGCTCAAAAATATAGTTTAAACACTGTAGTGACACGTTTGATATGTAACTCAGCAATAATAAAATAATGAACTGATAATTGTATTTACTAATTGAACAAAAAAAAACTGTTTATTATATATAATATATTATTATTACATTATTATTATATTCTATTATTAATTATACCATAATTATATCACTGGCAGACTTATTTATTATTATTATTATTATTATTATTATTTATTTATTTTATCATGAAGTCTACCATGGAAGTGAATCACATTACTGTCTGATTAACTTTTGCAACCACATCTCATGAAATTACTGAGAAATTTTATATTGATATTGGATCTAACCAAGGAGGATTAACCAGATTTCCAGGATATTGATTCAGCATTAGTCCAAAACACTGACGTGATGAGAGTGTTTACTGGAGAGTTTGGCCCAAAATGTCTCATAGTGTTAACACAAGGTGGTTCCACAGTAACCTGCATTAATTAATAGTTTTATACACTCATCACATATGGATTGGGTACATTTATTTGTGGCTTGGTTGGGGTATGGGCAGAGAGTCAGGGTGCATTCACCCTGTCCTTATCCTAGTTGGATTGGTGCCTCTCTAATTGTATTACACAAATTTTATATTGCATCGTTAAAAACATAAGTCCAGGTGGACTTTTTTCAACAGTTCACAAAGCCCCTTTCACTCAGTGTCCCTCTAGGGCAGGACCATCGAGGCCAACACTGCACGGTAGATTAAAGAGTGTAGTAAGTGTTTCCTTAAGGCAACACAAGCAAGGACACGAGGAGCTCACACAGACCCTGACAGGAAAACCCTGTATACAAGATGAGGACAGCACATCCCACCTCGAGTGTCCTTTAGGTGCAAAGTCTCCTCAGCGATGGGTGTCATGAGATTGTGAAACCGAAGGGGTTCTATGGCCGAACACATGGAGAGACGTGTTAGCGCTCTGTCAGAGGAAGAGCAACGCACACATACTCATCATCACACAGTACCACCATCTGTGCACGTCACACATCTATCAATCAAGGTGGCTGTACACCGTCCATGCACACATCAACTGAGCTGACAATAACTATGACAATACCAAATATCTGAGAGGGAGCACAAAAGTGTAGAAACATCTGATTGAAATATGGCTAACTGTATTGCTTTAGTAAAGGCAAAGAGTGGAGTAATACCATTAAACATGCTTGCCTTTTTCTACGCTAACTACAATCCAATAAAAAATATAAGCAGAAGTTATATCTGCAGATATATTGTTGTGCCTGGCTGCATTTTCACTTCCCTGTACTGTTGATATTGGATATGCATAATATTTATATGAGATATTAAATACATTCAATTTCATATAATAATGGTTACATATGTTTACTTGAATTGCAAAAGTGTTTAAGATATTTGCCTATAAAAGTGAACTGTGTTGTTTCAGATTCCCACTGCTGACACTGATACCATGTAGACTTATGGTGTTAACACACTGTGATGTATGCTTCTCAAAAACACTTACAGAGGGAGGGGTGACAAAGGCAGAGAAGGACATCCAAGGCCCAAATGCGTTTGAGGGTGCGGCGTATAGGACTTCTGCTAAACTTAGATCCATAGCTTCAGAGTACGTACGTAGTGGTTCTTATGTCTTATGTGTCAACCTTGACCATTCCAACAGGGCAAGAGGAGGTGGTCTTGGTCATAAATCACTCAGCACTGATAGACCGGACAAAGTTACATAATGTGGTGTGGAAGAAACAAATCATAAAGTCCACAAAGAGAGTCTATTTGAGTGTTGATTAATAGTATTTTAGATATTCAAAGTAAGATATGTGAGAAGCAGTTACCACAGCAATACTTGATACATTTGTGCTAAGTATAGGTCCAGCACAGAACACTATGCCAAATTATTAACAAGGTCAAGGTATAGGATACATAGATTAAACCCGAGAAGAATTTTAACCCATTTAAGCAGTGTGGAAAAATGCAAATGTAGTTTACTTCCACACAGAGGCTAACATAAATATATGTTAAATACAACAAACCTCTGAGGTTCAGAGCAAAACTGAAATACAAAAAACACTACAAGGAAAACTAAGTTAGAAAATTGTAATATAAGTTAAGTTACTCCAAATGAAAAAACATGGCGCTACTCCGAGTGGTATTGATTGATTGACTCTACTTTTTCTTTCTTGTGTTGAAGTAGTAGTTCCATCAAAGCACTAAAGTTATTTGACAGAGGATTACAATAAAAAGTTTATTGATTAAATGCCTTCAATGACATTACTAAAATCTAAGGAGTAGAATTCCAATAGCTCTCTATGTTGCAACTGGGTGAAGTCAGGAACATGAGGAAATTCTGAAGGGAAAAAAATGCCTTTAAGAGGGAGAGCCAATCTGAGAGGAGCAGCAGAGGGGTGTGTTCTGACCCACATTTTAGACTCGAATCATGACACAACTAAAAAGGGATACACTGTGACCTGCAAACGGAGTAAGAATAAGAAATTAATCTAATGTATAGATAAGATACAGGTATTACATGTTTCAAAGCCAAGTTATTGCATAAAACTAAGTGAAATTGCGTCAACATGTAAATCTACATTCATCTCTCAGTTTCATGTTCCTGTATCAAAGCATTTTAAAGCTGTGCATGCATTTTTTTTTTCTTTTCATTTTTGTGTCAAGCTCAGTTTCACGTCAAGAGCTTTGCCACTTCTAACAGTGAATGCATGGTCAGCTTAAAGATGACCAAATGCAAGATGTTAAAAGAAATGTGGTCTAGGAGTCAGTTATAAACTATACCTCCATGCTTTGACCATTTTTTTGTTTTTATAAGTCATAAACATGAAAAAAAAGTAGCTTCAACAATAGTATAGTATGGAGGTCACATGTGAATGAAAAAAGCAAACCTGCCAAAGGAAAAATGTGAAATGTGAAACAAATGAAGAAAACTCCTGATGTGAGATTTACCAGTAGTTTTGTCCTGTTTTATTAACAAAAACAGACAACATGGCATTCAGTGTAGTGTAGAGACTGGCACCAGGATAGCTAACAAAATACGCAGAGAAATCTTAGACCAACAGTGGTTCTCAGAGAGAATCAGAAGACAATGGGCTGCCAGTGCTCTGCCCAGACACCAAAGCCCTGGTACGTCCTGTTGGCTTTGCTCTGTTCAGGATCACTGGACAGCACATAAACCAGACCCAACCAACTGTATTATTATCACTGGAATATAAAAACATCATCTATACAAGACTGCAGTTTTGGGTAGAGGTGGAATATACACACTACTTTGCAACCATTTGAGATGCTGGTCCACCCCATGACAGAGCATAGCTGTACTTGGCCTAAATGCCTGCTGAGCTTGTTAGTGTTTGTTATCCACAGGCCCTCACACGTGGGGAACTTTAAAGGGCTTAATCATCTTAAACTGTGCTACTGTGTCAAGAATGATCAGGGGAAAGTAGAACAAGAGTGAAAGTTGTTATATTAAAAGGTGTAATTAAGTGTGTCCTCTGCATCTGGCCTGCCCTTCAATGCCACTGGGTCAGGACCAGCAACTTTCATTTTTTTATTCCTGACCTTAGATAGTCAGAATTACTGCTTCCCTTCCCTATTTGAATCACACCATTAATGAATTATTTGCCTGAAACCCATGAGTTGCAGTAAGGATAAGATAAGCTTTGCAATATAAAAACACACTTGTTTTTACTTGTATTAAGCAAATACGAATGATGTGGCATTCTTTCTGTTTACTTAACCAAAGCAGCAAACAAGCAGTGACATCTACCTATTGACTTTTATGGAAGTGTTAAGTGCAGATAACACTGTCTATCTAGACTGCTTCCTGCATATTGAGCAATCAAATGTGTTTGATCTCAATGTAAATGCTATGAAAATGTATTTATTACACAAGAAGCAATCACATGTGATGTAAGGGTGTCATTAGCATTCTCAGTGTAAAATTCAGGAGTGAAAGTAAAAGTTCTGGACATAACTAAGTTTTAAGGGTCTATAAACCAAGTCGCATGGAGTTTATTATTCAAGTCTGTATAAAACTAAAAAGGAAAACGTTTTTTGGGCCATGGGGTTCAAATGCTCATGTGATGTTTTTTTTTTTGCCAAGATGACATTACTGTGATGTGAAACGTGTGGTGTGTGATTCAATTCAAATTAATATTGTGGGGACACATGCAACCTACTGATGTGGACACTATTTAAATC